TTTTGATTTTACATTTTTAAATAAATCTTTATTTTATAGTCTGATTATTAATAGCTGAGATTAACCTACCAGAATAACTGAATTAATCCCTGGTTTATGAGTGGATTATACATTGCAGAATAGATTAATTTAGACTTTTTTAGCACTTAAACCTGACTATATAAAGTCTAGATTCAGAACAAATTGATCAGATACGATCTAAACATAATTCCAGCTATTAATATTACAATCAAATAATTTTGGTCTATTTTCTAAACAAGTTCATGAGAGCCATCTCCTTTATCCTCTGATAGTTAATCCTTTTATCTCTGAGCATAAATTCATACAGGATCCAACAGCTGCACACAAGGTCACTGCATTTAAGTCTCTTTATGTTTTTAATAGGGATGTCCATAGGCAGTCCTTTAATAGGCAGTCATTATTGAAATCAGATATTGGTCTGATATCAGCCAAAAACGAATATATCAGATTATGTAGTTCTGGACCTAAATTGTCAGATTTTGGCAGCATGCTGATAAAAAAACGATGCTTCTGTCTAAAGTTTCTTTAACCTGTTGGTTCACAATAAATGGTTCGGTTGTTCTCAGGTTTATTGCTGTGAACTATTGTTTTTTTTATAACTTGATCAAACCTTTTTTTTATTTCACACTGCAAACGTGTATTAAAATGATGTGTGATTCGTTCTGATATCATATCAGGTTAATATTGGTATCAGTCAGTCCTTAAATGTGCAATATTGGTATTATCAACGTATTGTTTCTTTAATTTAGGAAAAGTCAGGTTTAATACTTTAAGACCAATAATTCCAAACACTAAACAGTAAGTTTATATATAATTTTAAAATGTATATGTAGCTACAATAAAGAGAAATATTTTACATCAATCAGTTATTGGGATACTAAGGGTATTTTAGTCATTATAGTTTTGCCTCCTTTGTGATTTACGGACGGATTTAAGCCAATGTTTCCTCTAATCTGCGAGTTTGGGCAGATGCATACGTTCTGCTTGCGCACCCTGATTGCATAAGGAATAGTCTATCAGAAGCTTCAGCCCACATTTAATCATGCAACATGGAAATGTTTCAATGTAAACAAGTTATGCCTGAAAAGTGTATCATCTTATTTCCTGAAGAGCAGGTCCCTTACTCCGGCCACACCTATAACACACTACACATCTCTTGAACAAGTTTTTATTTATTTATTTATTTTCAGTTTAAGTTGGCCTTATGACTTAAAATGAAATTGAACTAATCAAATTTGCTTCTGCATTCTCTTCTTTTTTTAATAAACCATGTAACTTGCTGTGATCCCGGGTTTATAACGAGTTTTATGGCCTGGGTGTGCACATCTGATGTTGCTCACAGTGATCCTCGTTGAACTCAGGGACTTCTATTTATGCTCAGGTATATCAAAAAAAAAAAAAATAGAGTGAACATTGCTTAAAAGTAGCTTGAGAAAAAAACAATTTAGAGGTTTAGCAGATTTATGCCTTTTACCTACCATATACAGTTTGTCCACAAGGGGGCACTAGCGTACAGTTATAGTATGGGTTAACGCTCCAATTGGTCTGGATTTATCAGTTAAATCGCTCTCCAATTATTTTAGATAGTATTTTTATAATTTTTCTCAAAAAACAAAGGTTTTAGTGACAAAAATTTCTTTAAAATAATTTTAATAACCCGCTTATTTTCTATCTATTAATTTGCTGTTGTTCTTCCGGTCCCGTTTTCAGCCAATAGAAAAACTCGTTTGAGCAGCGCGTGGTCTCGAAGGCTCTGCCTCATTTAGTAGCCAGCTAGAAAAGCAGAACGCCAGGTTGGTGGAGTCTGAATGATAACAAACAGAAGAATCCGCTTAAATTTCGCTGTCAGAGCAGTGGGCGTTAAAAATGTTAAAAAATGAAAGTTGAAATCACTTTAGGATATAATCTCCTCTCCTGCTGCTGTTTTCTCCTCCAGTCATGTCACAGACCGGCGGAAGGGAAAGGAGCAGATCGCTGACAGACTGAGGTAAGACAACAATAATAATCGGTTCTGGGATATCGCTATAAAAGTTCCCAATCTTTTCATATATGTCAATTTATACAAGTGAAGTTTTCTATAATTTAATTAGTAACACTGGGTGGGGTTCAGGTTCGGCTGCATGATTTATTTTTTAAAACTGATCAGTTCTGCTGTATCCAGTCTGAATCCTGCAGACTTCAGCTGAGGTTGAAAAACATTTCAGCCTGTTTACAATCTGATGTTTGAGCTGCTGCAGCCTGAAGATCATTAATTAAATCTGAAATAAATTACGGAGGAAAACAGAAAATACAGTCGTATGTTTGACAGCTCTTGTGTTTATGTCTTATTTTCGATTAAAATAACAAAAACATCTTTAAAGTGCTGCAGGTAGCAGGTTTAGATCTGTCATGAAAACACAGAAGGAAAGCCTTTAAAAGTGAATAGTTGTTATTACATTTTAAATATCTCTCGTAATAGATTAATTATTTTTTCTTTGTTGGATCCAGAGGATTCAGACTTCCAAGCCTAAGCTTTATTTTGATGGTCCAGATAATGAGCTGAAGATCAGACAGCTGTTTAGTCAGCTTTGATCTGCAGGTTTAATACTAAAAAAATATAATTTCCTGTTCAATAAATATTTTAAATCAAATGCATTAATCAGCAGGATGCAGATTTTTCTATTTTGACTAAAAATCAGACTCAGGTTAGAGAATGTTTGGATTCCTGGATATGGATAAACTGTGATTAGTCTGATCAGGGGCGGATTTAGGAAATTTGGGGCCCTATGCAAAGACAGGCAGGGGGCCCTACTCTATTCAACAGATAGAGAAATGTTCATAGAATAGACATCCATTATTTGTTCTAGGTTTTGTCCCTCTCTTCTTGTTTTCCTCTCTATGTTTTGTAATAGAAAATGTATGAAATATTTAATGAAATATTTAATTTAACTAATAATCAGCACAGTTTTAATTCAATTTAAAATCTTTTTTAAATCAACATCTATTCCTCTGTTATAGCAGGACCCTTTGATCAGAACCAGGGGCGGATTTAGGAAATTTGGCACCCTAGGCAAAGGCAGGCAGGGGGCCCTCTGATTGTAGAACACATCACATAAAACAGACCCATTCTCCAGATAGAGAAATGTTAATAGAATAGA